GCACTTGCCTCGCTTTCCTCTCCATGGTCCCCTCAGACACACACTGTCCGGGTCTCAGATTCACACCCAGACTCCACGTCCAGACCCGCTTGTGCCAGTAGTGCCGCGTGCTCGCCACCAGGAGGCGCTGCTCCTGTCATGTCAGAGAAAGCCCTGGGAGGCTTAGGTTCCTTCCTCCCATCTTCGTCCTAACCCAGGCTGGGCCTCAGCATCTCCTGGGAGTTTTGCTTTGTTTTAAACTTTTTATTATGGGAAATTTCAAACGTACAAAAGTATATGAGCTCTGGGGAGCCATCGGCCATCTCCCACAGTGATTTCCTCGCTACCAGTCTTGGTCACCTGCACCCCGCCCAGGGAGCTGGCTAAGGGTACAGACGCCTGCGCCCTGTCCCTGACAGGGAATCAGTCTTGCCAGGCTCTTTGGAAACCACTGTCATAAGCCTGGCCCCTGCCACCCAGCTGACTGACCATGGGTCTCCAGCGGTCCCTGCCGGCTCTCGTCACCTCGACCTCTGATTCCCACCAGCCTGAGCATCTTTCCCATGTCTGACCCGAATCGTCCTGCTCACACTCACTTCCTCTTGCTCAGGCCCTGCAGATTGGGAAACAGCTGACTCCCGTTCTCTGTGCAGCCTCTCTTCCTGTGACTGTCTGACAGCCAGCGTTAAGTAATCCCGTCAGCCTCAAGATCACCTCAACCTCTGATTCCCACCAGCCTGAGCATCTTTCCCATGTCTGACCCGAATCCTCCTGCTCACACTCACTTCCTCTTGCTCAGGCCCTGCAGATTGGGAAACAGCTGACTCCCGTTCTCTGTGCAGCCTCTCTTCCTGTGACTGTCTGACAGCCAGCGTTAAGTAATCCCGTCAGCCTCAAGCCCTTGACCAGCTGCCACAGTTGCATTCTACTGGTGGCCACGTCTACAGTGTGGCCTCTTCCTGTGGATGGACAGCAGGCCCTGGAGTTGACACTCCCTTAGCACTTCAGGCTGGAAAGACGTTGTTAAGCTATTAAAGCTCAATTTTCAAGTGTCCAGAAAAATCCCTGTTAAGGACTGAACGGTGTTCCCCCTGCCAGATTCATACGTTGAGGTCCTAACCCCCAGGACCTCAGAATGTGACTGTTTGTGGAGACAGGGTCTTTAAAGAGTTAAGTTTAAATAGGGTCATTAGGGTGGGCCCTGATCCAGTACGACTGGTGTCCTTAGACGAAGAGGAAACCTGGACACAGACAAATACGGAAAGAAGATCGCAGATTTCATCTGTGCCTCAGTTTCTGATCTGGAAAATGGGAATGTATTACAGTTAACTCCCCCTGCCATATGATCAGGGCTCCTACTGGGTTTTAAGAGCTCCGTAGGGTCCCCTCTGACCATACAGCCATATTAGGGAGCAATATGATTCTGCAGCTCATTTGTCGAAAGGGCCCTTGATTATTGACCCATCACAGAAGGCATTGTTTGAAGAAAGCGTATTTTTTTTTTTTCCGTGTCCGGCAACGGATTGCAACCCTCAGTGTCGCCCCCATACCGGAC